CCCCTGCAGTGTATAGAAGTTTGGTTATAGCTTACTTCTCCATCATACGTATAAGTTATCAATATATTCCAACTGCATGTCCTTCCCTGTAGTAAAAATATAAATAACAATACCTAGAATATTCCCAGGTGAAATGCTACAATGGTAAATTATCTGTGTGTTTGCAGATCCCTTCATATATATATCACATTTTTTCTAGTCACAATAAAATACTTGAAGTACTTCTTAGTGTCATTCTAGTGGTGAGGCTAGAAAGTATCAACAAGCATTTCTGGCATCATAGCTAGGGATAACAACTTAGCAAAGGTGATGTTAAGAAATGTCAACAAACATTAGATGGCTATTTAAACTAGTGACAAGTTAATAAATACCTAACACGTGGTGACGTGACCTGGCACGGTGAATGCTGCATAGGCCTAGCTACAACCGCAGTGAACGAGCGGCGACTCAGTGCCGACGCTTGGCAGGCACGTATCTTGCCATGACACTGAGCAGGAACCACACATTTCTGCACACTAGGCAGACCACAGGCAGACATGTGCCTAGACAAGCGGCCATGGGTGTGTTTGGTTGGGTGGCCAACCCCTAGCCTGGCTCCTTGGAGCCAATTTTGGCCTGTTTGGTTGCTTGGAAGTGGGCTAGGGCCTAGCTAGGGCTGGCCATCTGTACCCCTTTAGCCTGGCCAGGATTGAATGCCCGAATTGATCATTTTTCTAGAGCCTGGCTTGGCCAGGCACCAGTCCCCATTCTCCTCACCTCTGGCGCGCTCACCCTCACCCGCAACCCTAATCTCCTCCACCGTGCCGACCCTGCTCCCATCCATCGACACCGGCCGTGCTCTCCTTTACCGTGCTGGCCCTGCTCCCCTCCACCAGCGCTGGTCATGCTCTCCTCCACCGTTGGCGGTGTGGAGCCATGACCACCGTGGAGGCCCTGTCGGAGCCGGAGCCGGAGCCATGGCCCAGAGCACCAAGTCCCGATAGCCGTGGCTATCGTGGCAGATCTGCATGGACAGTAGCAGTGCCTTCTCCTTCACTGCAGATCCGCAAGGCCAGCACGAGCCACCGGCGGCTTGTGCCTTGCCGAGCAGCTAGCCCCGGCCCCTCCTCCACCCGGCTATTCGCTCGTCACGAGCTTAGAGAGGGGCACATGACAGCGCACCGAGGGAGCCATGCTGCACCGGTACTCAGGGACCAATGGTTAGCGCCGGCCATGCCCCTGCTTCTCCATGGCCGAGCTTTGCCCTATCTCCAGCCAGCCAACAAGGAGAAGGGTCAGCCATGGCTTGCTCCCTCTGCTCTCTCTACTTGCCTCAAAGATGTTCGATGAATTGCTTTAAAGGTGGTGAAGTTATCTGCACAAAGAAGAGGTGACTCTATCCAAGCCAAACCAGCCAACCAAACAAACTAGTTGTTAGCTAGGCTTAGGTAGCTTAAGCAGCCAAACAAGTCAATCTTGGCTTGCTGGAGGCTTAGGTACCTTTACTACGTGACTCACTATCTGGGCCTTGGTAATTCCTCCCCATTTTCGATCGAATCTGAGCTCTATTTTAATGTTAAACTCTTTCTCATCTAAAAATGCATAAATAGCTAATAGATAATTGATTAATGTCGATTTTCTAGAGCTACGCAATGAAGAGGACTAGGACACTAAAATCTTTTATTTCTCCTCACACAAATTATACAATCAGTGTCACATAACCAACCAACCTTCTATACTACAACAGTAAGTAGTTAGAGATGCAAACAGACGGACAAACAATGTGTGTGGAAGAGACGCGCGGATTAGAGAAGCATATCTGCATTTTGTTTGTCTGATCTCTACTTCCAAGTATGCAAGGAAAGTGCTTTGGATACGTCTCTAGTGTGAAGTATTTTTTTGGAAGTGATAGTATATACCTAATATCAAAGTGTGTTTTATGGTCCTTTACTCTCTCAAATGTCCAAACAAGTTGGAGCAACATGTCTAGACACGGTCGAAAAACTAAGCCTATAATAAATTAGAACACATGGCACAATCAACCCCTGTAGCTATACGAGTTAGAATAGTCCGTTTCTAAGCACATTACGGAGTTGACTAGGATAAATAAGAGCGATTGTTGAATAAATCTAGCAAAAAGTCATGTGGGTTATTATAGAATAAGCTATACGTCTTGTTACAACATACATGCATGTCCATTATTAGTATATCTATTTGGTGTCATTAATATTAATATTTTTATCTAAATATTTTACAAACTTTAGACGCTTTAACAAAGAATGCATGAAATTTATTTCTTTTGCCGGTCACTCTCATCTTTTCGTGTATCACTTCTCTTCCGTATCTACACTATCACTCGTCTTTCTTTGAGTCTAGAGTCACAAAACTTTCATTGATTTTGCACCACTTCTATCATGCTCTAGCCGTCCAAAACCATTTGTATCATGTTTTACGCATGCGCATGGCTCGCATCTCACCATTCATAAACCCATAACATGTGCACACAAATAGCACATACGCATGCGTATATCTCACATTTCACCATTCATAAGCTAAATTAAATCTATATCTACTATATCTAATATGAAATAGGCAAAATTTCTTCCCCATTTAATCAAGGTTTTTTTTGGATCGAAGCCATTACAATTCTTCGAAGTTGGAGAAATATCATTACAATTTGGGTATTCTAAAACATGCCATTATAATTCTGGATGTTGCTAGTGCTGGCCATTGTCTACGTATGTGAACAGCTCAGGCCCATCGAGGTCAAGGAAGGCGTACGTGACTTCCGTATGGACATCAATGCCCTTCTTGCGTGTTACAAGCCGCCGCGCCCTCTCTCCCGTTCAATCCATCCTCCACCCGTGCTCCTCTCTGTCTTCCTCTTCCTTTCCCTAAGAACCCTAACCCTAGACTGTAGCCGCCGCCGGAGACCCACGGAGCTACGACGATGATCTGCAGAGCTGCAACGTTGGTGGTTTCATGTCTATGGCCGGCGCATCCACCGGAGGAGATGCAGGATCCATGAAGACGACGGGCGAGGTCTTCCTACATCTACACCGTAGTGCTGCAGCGGAGATGGAGGACTACAATAGCAAGTAATGTGTGCGCGTCCCCTGTTATCAGTTTGAGCACATAGTGTAGTTGACTTGTGCTTGCCTATTTACACTTCGATTTGGGACTCGTTTTGATTGTTGGTAGGAATGGTATGTTCGCGGTAGAGGTTAAAGTCCACAGTTTTGCTATGAAAGACTCAGATGGTACAAAATCATACGCTAAAGGCACTGTGATTAAGTGGGATGTGGAGTTTGGGTCTTTAACGCTTGAACTGTTGGTGTCTAGTATTGCAAATGAATTGAATGTGCCCTCTAACCAGGTACCCATAGTGTGGTTCTTTGATAAAAGACTGCATGAGGATGTTAGATTAATTAGTGAAATTCAGATGGTTGATGTCTTTGAAATGTACAAGGAAGAGATGGGTTGTCAGCTTGTAGTGGGATTATTTGATAATGATGCTGAGTTTGATGACCTACAGCCTTTATGTACAATTCCTTCTGAGGTTAGATTTGAGATACCCAACAATGATTTTTGCATTGCCGATGAACCAAATAGTGCTGCTACTAACAATCCAGAGGCTCCTGAACCCAGTACTACTACTGCTAACAATCCAGAAGCAGATACTGATTTAGAGACTGAACAAGGTGATGATGTTGATGTAGAACCTAAGAGGGAGCCTGATATCTTTGATAATCCTGAAGAATATGTTGGAGTTGATGATGAACAAATCTATATTTCAGTTCCTAATGTACAACAAGTTGCTAATGCACAGCCAGTTAACATTGCTTATGATTCTGTTGATGCTCACCCATCTGATGAAAATGCTTCTGCTAATGCACAGCCAGTTCCTGAAGAATATGATGAAGTTGATGATGCAGACCCTCTTGAGGTGCATGTACTCTATGATCCTGAGAATCCAAACATAGTGAAGGGGGCATTATTTCCTGATATCATTGCATTCAGGAAAGCAATTAGGCACCATGCAGTGAAGACTGGTTTTAAGTTTGCTGGGCTCAAAACAGACAAGACCAGGTTCTTAGCTCACTGTGCTGCCAAGGGTTGTCCGTGGCGCATACATGCATCCACTATTTTTGATAAAAAACAATAAAGGTAATGTGTTCAACTACTGCTATTTATGACCTATTTGTGACCTTTTTTGACATGCTAATGACCCGTTTGACATGTTTGTGCAGATAAAAGTGCTTCCCGCATAGCACAATTGTCCTACCACCAAGCTTAGAGAAGGAAAGATGGCAAGTCAGGGCTGGTGTGCAGACAGGCTAGCAGACTGGTTGAAAAAGAATCCAAATAAGAGCCCAACGGATGCCAAAGACAAATTGGAGGGTGACTATGGAATTAAGTTGAAGTACTCTAAAGCTTGGTCAGGTTTGCAGGTTACTCTAGACCAGATTCATGGGTCTTATGAGGAAAGTTTTCAACTTTTCTTCAATTGGGCTGCACAGGTTGAAATAAGTTATCCTGGTAGCATTGTAGAAATAGAATTAGAGACAATAGGTGATCAAAAAAGGTTCAGAAGGATATTTGTTGCTCTGAAGCCATGCATTGATGGGTTCTTAGTTGGTTGCAGACCATTTATTAGTTTAGATGCTTCTAGTCTAAATGGTAGGTATCTTGGGCAGTTGGTTTCAGCTACTGGGGTTGATGGCCATAGTTGGTTGTACCATATTGCCTATGGTGTTTTTGACACAGAGACTGAAGATAACTGGAAGTGGTTCATGCAGAATTTGCACAGAGCTATTGGGGACCCTCTAGGATTGGTGATTTGTTCAGATGCTTGTAAAGGCCTAGAAAAAGCTATGGGAGCTGTCTTCCCACATGCTGAGAACAGGGAGTGCATGAGGCACTTGTACCAAAACTTCATGAAGCACTACTCAGGTGATGTGTTCACTGACCATCTATATCCTGCTGCAAGGAGCTAGACAAAAGACATGTTCAGGTGGCACATGAAGAAAATTTTTGAGTTTGCTCCTGATGCAATTGAGTACCTTGAGGAACACCATTCTAGGATTTGGTACAGATGTGCCTTCTCAGAGCTTAGCAAGTGTGATTACCTAACTAACAATGTGTTAGAGAGTTTCAATGCACAGATTAAAAAGCTGAAGGGACTTCACCTCCATGAGTTGTGTGATAGGCTGAGGGAGTTCATAATGGAGAAGAGGTACATTAGGAAGAAAATTGCAAGGCAATGGGAGGATGGCATCCTCCCAAGTGTACTCAAGGATCTCAATGCCATTAGCAAAAATTTGAAAGTAGTCAAGGTTGCAACCTGTGATGATGGCATTGCAGAGGTCACAATATTAGATGACTGGAACAACTAGAAAAGGCACATGGTGGATCTTGAAAACTACAAGTGTTCCTGCAGGGAATGGCAAATAACTGGCAAGCCTTGCAAGCACGCACTGGCATGGATTTGCTCTAACAGAGGAGTCCAAATCTCTGACTATGTCCATGAGTATTACTCTGTTGCAAAGTTTAGAGCTGCATATGAACAGAGAGTGGAACCTATGCCAGACAGGTCCTAGTGGCCTCATTTTGAGCTGGGATTTAAAGTTTTCCCACCATTACTTAGAAGAAGACCAGGCAGGCCTAAAGTGGTAAGGATAAGAGGTTGCTTGGAAAAAAATAGTACAAAGAAGAAAGTGAAATGTCAAAGGTGTGGAGATTTTGGACACTTTGCTAAGACATGCAAGGAACCTGAGATGGGACCTGATGGTGAGACTGCTGCCGCACTGAATAAAAAGTAAGACTTGTACTGTTTTCATTTTGTATCTGTCTACTAAATAGTGGTATCAAAAATAATTTGCTTGAACTAATGGTGCAGGAAGAGGCCGGCTGAAGAAGAAGCTGGACCATCTCAAGTGAAGAAGAAGAAGTCAGCTTCAGCTAAGAACAAGAAGACAACTAAGAAGAAGAAAACACCAGTCAAGAAAAAACTGATGAAAAAAGCTACAGCTCCACCTGCTAAGGTTGTTAGAGGTCTGATGGATATGCTAAATAATGGGCAGTAATCCACCTGCAGCTTATTTTGTGACTTGGATGTATTTTGTGACTTAGGAGTCTGTGATGTAAATGGCCTTTGGACCTGAACAAGTGCTTTTGTAATCTGAGAATAGCCTGAGTGCTGTAATCTGCTTTGCTTTTGTAGTGCCCTTGTTAATGCTGGTGATATGTAAGCTGAATGGTATGTTGGCTATTTTGGTCGCCTTGCTCTTGACCCCTGGTTGATCGGAGTAATGGGTGTAAACTCTATAATTTCGTTGCTTCCAAGTAATGAAATCTGGGTTTCCCCGTGGTGAAAGAAAATGCAGAGAAGAGCCAGCATCATATCTGATTGAAAGAAAGAAGATATGAAAATTTCAGGCCTCTGTTGGCTATTTGTATGGAGAGATCTCTTGTATGGATATAGTTATGCTTCTGAAATATTCAGGGACACTTGAAATGTAATGAGATGGTTGCCAGCATTATAGAACTGTCTTATGTGCAATGAAATTGCCTATTGGTGCTGCTTGCATCTACATCTACATTTTTCTGTGATGGTTGCCAGCATTCAGTTAGCTCAATCTGAACATATACTAAAATGCATGTATAGGGCCTCTGTTGTGTGTTTGAGCTATTCCAGGATATACTTGCTTGAAGTATGAAGTATTTGCTCATTTTGCCTGTACTTCTATTACCATGCAAATTTCTGTGGTAAGGCTCACTGGGTCTCCATACAATTTTTTCTACAGCCCAAGAGAATGTCTTAATATTTTCTGGTTTTCTCTTCAACATATATAGGAAGCCATGAGCTACAGCCATAAAACATATATTAGCTAGTGATATGAAACATGTATTGCAATTAACCACATATATGTAAGAGTGAGGCATAAAACACAGCCATAAAAGACCATTTAGTTTGCCATTGCAGAGTTGCAACTGTGGCACTGGTACATATGTTTTGGTGCCATTCTACAATGTTATGGTGCATCTATGCAATGGCAAAGGCGAACAACAGCAACAACATCTATGCAATGGCGAAGGCGAACATCAGCAACAGGCTCATGCGCAAGCACAAGCACAGGCGCAGCCTCAGATCCTGGTTCAAGCTCAAGCACACGGAGATATGCAAGCTGAGCGATCACTAATTCTCATTTCATCAGATATTTGGTACCCATTTTAATTCATACCATATGTTCATTCATTACAATTCTGGAAACATACAACCACACACACACACTAGAAACATACACACACTCCTTCCTAACAGAAACTGCTATGATCAGTTCACTTTCATATTGTAGCCACAAGCAAACCAAGCAGAACACCGACAAATCCTACAAAGACAATGGCTACAAAAGAAGAATCGAGCACAATCTGCATGTTCTTGTTGTCGACTTTAGGCTTCACTGCAGGCATGTTCTTGTTGTCGACTTCAGGCTTCACTGCAGGTATCACCTCAACATGTAGCATCTTTATTTTCCAAACCTCTGCTACAACACTATCCAGCTTGCTTCACCAGTTCCAATTCTTCCTTCAAATCGGCGCAACAAACACCAGATGCATCATTCACTGACTGCACCCTCCGTTCCTCTATTTCCAAGGCCATATACTCCTTCACAGAGCGGATGTATGGGCAGGTACTATCATCATCCTGCAATCGAAACAAAGGGCATAAATCAGAGATGAATCAACACACAGTGAGCACAACAATATCAAAAATCATAACCTTGATGTTGTACGAGCACTTGAGGTACCACTCACCCTTTGTCGCCGGTTGCTTGCTCTGGATGCAGACCAAAGCAACATGGCAAAAGGGGCACTCCCTTCTACCGCTGGCCGTCGAGCTCAAGCCACTAGAAGTTGCCTTCATGGTGCTGCAACTCCACTTCCTGGCCATGGCTTCAAAGTTGGGCGCCGCCATCGAACCGGCGATGGCCGTGCCAGACTGCTCCGTCGTGGGCTGCGACGTCGGCTAAGGCTATTCTAGGGTTAGGGTTCTTGGAGGAGGGGAACGGAGAAGGATGAACGCAGGTCGCCGTCGTAGCTCCATAGGTCTCCGGTGGCGGCTACAGTCTAGGGTTAGGGTTCTTAGGGAAAGGAAGAGGAAGACGGAGAGGAGCACGGGTGGGGGATGGATTGAACGGGAGAGAGAGGGCGCAGTAGCTTGTAACACGCAAGAAGGGCATCGATGTCCATATGGAAGTCACGTACGCCTTCCTCGACCTGACAGTGGGCCCAAGCTGTTCACATACGTAGACAATGACCAGTACCAACAAAACCCAGAATTATAATGGCATATTTCAAAATACCCGAATTGTAATGACATTTCTCCAACTTCGAAGAATTATAATGGCTTCGATAAAAAAACCCTTTAATCAAATAGTGAAGAGTTTCCTCTATATAACCCGAACTCATGATCTATACATATACGAGTTACGACAACTCGCATCTAATGATGATGAATACGAATCTCGTATGTGGATCGGATTCATGACCCATATTGAGATGCTCCCTACATATCTCGTATGTGAATCATACTCATGACCCGCATTCATACCAGGTAGAACAACTCGTACCTAACGGTGACACGAAGTCCTATTCCTATGTACTCATTCTGTCCCAAATATCTAGCGTTTTCGCTTCCTGATAAACAACTTTGACTAAATATATATTAAAAATATTAATATTTATGGTATATAATTAATATCATTGGAAAAACCTTTAAATCTAGTTTTTTAATATTTTTTTAAGATATAAATATTGCATATATTTTTTACGAATCGAGTCAAACTTACGGCATTGAGACAGTTATTTGGGTCGGAGTGAGTATTGGGCGTGTTTGATTATCTGGACCGCGGTCAGTAACAGGCCCGCGTGGTGCAACTGGACTTGTTTGGATCGCATGGGAGCCTGTGCCGCACGATGCTAAAAAACACTGTGGAGCTTTGCCGCGAGGAAACAAAAGTGAGGTTTACTTCTCCTGAGTACGGCTGGCTCGGGCTCCAGCGCTGCTCCAGCGCGTGCACAGATGGTTGGTGGGGGTGGCTGACGTGTAGACCCTCAGTGCAGCGTGATTAATATCATATTTATTTAGCTGATAAGTAATGGTAAAAGTACTATTAACTAATTTGTTGCGAGAGAAAAATACTATTCGTTAATTGAAAAAGTACGATTTATAAGTCAAACAAACATGACATAAATAAATAATAATTGCACAGAGTCAGGCCCAACAAACACAAATTCACGAAAAAAATTACACCAATCTAGCCTGCCTGATAATACCCAGACTTCTCTAGACAAAACAAACAGGCTCATTGGGTTCGTTGCAACACACCGTTATCTAATAGAAATAGATAGCTCATATTATTGATACGAGCATACGAGCACCTTTGAATTGCACGTGCCACTGAATATGAATACGCGTTTCCAATTGCACGCGCGGTGCGTCGGTGACTCGGTGTGCCGCTGCCGGCAGCCGGGACGGGAGAATCTGTTCACTTACGCTGATATTTAGTTTACGCTCATGTTTATATTAAAATATTATAAGAGAAAAATATTATTCTGAAAAGTAACGCAAAAGAGAAAAACAGGTTCCGTGCACATCCGGTCTGCTGTTCCGGCCCCAACTCTACCTCTCGGTACCTTCACGCATCATCCCACCGCTCTCTGCGACTCTGTTCCACTTCCAGTCTTTCACCAGTCCGCTCGACTTGGCCCCGATTCCCCTTTCATTTCAACTCGCATCTCCCGCGCCGCGCAGCCCCAGCCCCCATGGACCTGCCGGTGGTGGATCTCGCGCCGTATCTCCGGTCCGCCGCCGGCGACGCGGCCCCGGCGGGTGAGGAGGAGCTGCGCGCGCTGTGCGCCACGGTGAGCGCTAGCCTGCGGGACACGGGGGCGCTGCTGGTGATGGACCCGCGCTGCTCCGCCGCGGACAACGACCGCTTCCTCGACGTCGTCGAGCGCTACTTCGCCCGATCCGCCGACGCAAAGCGCCTCCAGGAACGGCCCCACCTCCACTACCAGGTAGGCAGGTGCCCGCCCCGCAGCTTTTCTTCTCTGTCTGCTTTGTCGAATTGGGCCAGCGGGTTTGATGGATCGGGTGTGGGTATGGTCAACCGGATGGCTGTAGACACTGGATTCACGGTGCTGGGATTAATACCACCTCGGTTGGATCCGGATCACTGCCGTGATCGATCACATTGTAAAAGGAAAAAGTCTACTTAACACATCAAACAAACTATTGGTGGTTGTCTACTTCACCCCTTCACCAATAAAACCAGGTATTCTACCCCTTAAACTATTAAAAACCGTCTAAATAGCCCCCAGTTTTAAAAGTGGTTTCGCTGATGTGGCATATTAAAAGTTCTATATAACCCTCTAGCATATCAAGGGTTGACTAAATAACTCCCTCAACTATAAAACCATATATTATAGCTCTTGGTATATCTAATAATGTTCAAATGACCCTGTGATAGTCTTGTAGGGCCATTTGGACATCGTATACCACCACACTGGCCTATGCACCATACTTGCACGTAGGCCCATTAGTTGCCTCTCTCTCCCTACTCTTTCTAGGATTACGGCACTGCCCGATGAGCACCACCCTGTCTCCTGCTTCACCTCATGGCACTCCTCGACGGCATTGAGTTCATGCACTATGCCACACCCTTGTCATTCGAGGATAGTCTGATGGAGGATGTGGGAGGGGCCAGATGATGAGGGTGTAGGCATGGTGCTTGAGCTCAATGTCATCAACAGAGTGTCGGGAAGTGGAGCAAGAGACAAGATGTCACGTGTTTCTCGTTGGGTGTGGTGGGTTAGTCTAGAAAGAGTTGGGAGGTGGAGGTAGAAAATGTGGCATGCGCACAAGCATAGGTACTTAGGCCAATGTGTCGGGATACGGTGTCCAAATGGACCTACAAAACCATCCAAGGGTGATTTGAATATTATTGGATACTTTAAGGGCTGCAATATTAGATTTTATAGTTGAGGGGGTTATGTAGTCGACAATTAATATGTTAGGGGGTTATGTAGACTTTTTAATATGCCAAGTCAGTGAAACCACCTTCAAAACCGCCTCAGGGGGTTATTTAGATGGTTTTCAATAGTTTGAGGGGTAGAATACCTGGTTTTATAGATGAGGGGTGAAGTAGACAACCATCAATAGTTGAGGGGGTGAAGTAGACTTTTTCCCTTTGTAAAATAGTCACGATCAGGTCTTGCTTAATGCGTGTTAAAAAACTCAACTTGCCCCACTGTGCTGAATTACTGATCCAGTTCGTTTATGCTTGTTCCTGGTAAGGTTGGTGTCACACCTGAAGGGGTGGAGGTTCCTCGCAGTTTGATTGACAAGAACATGCAGGAGAAGATCAGGAGCATGCCCGTGGAGTTTCAGCCAGCCACGCCTAAAGGGCCGGACCCAAAATGGCGGTACATGTGGAGAGTGGGTCCTCGCCCTGCAAATACCCGCTTTAAGGTTATGATTTCCATGTGACGTCTCTCTACGATCTTTGATTTTTAAAATATGAAATGCGTTAACTATTGATGGTGCTAGTTTAGTTTTTTTCTTTGTACTGAGCTGGTAACTAACCTTGTTTAGGAGCTAAACTCAGAACCTGTTATCCCTGAGGGATTACCTGAGTGGAAAGAGACGATGGATTCCTGGGGTTCTAAAATGATTTCTGCAATTCAGGTATATCTATCATGATAGCACCTTTTTCTGAACAGTATTCACAGTGTTTGATGTGTTGTACATAACTCTTTTGTGCTGTACGCCCATACCTGTATGGTTATGTTCGCATAGGTTGTTGCTGAGATCGCTGCAATTGGCTTTGGCTTGTCCAAGGATGCATTTACTTCTTTGATGAAGGAGGTAATATTATCATTCTCTGCGCTACTCATTCAAAAAAGAAAAATCTTTGCCTTGTTCTATTGTACTCCTACTCAATTTGTTTTTTAAATCTTATTCTTCCCTTTTTCTGTGTCAAAAGCTATCACTGGGTTACTTAGTGGGTTCTCAAGTCTGGCATGAGCTCTTTGATTCTGTACTTCTGTAGTGATGCAGTTAGAGATCAGCAGTCTCTATATAGTATTCACATTCAATTTCTATAATAATTTTGTTGAGATTGCTCAATTTCTCTTTGAACACTAGGGACCACATCTCCTAGCGCCAACTGGAAGTGACCTGCAGCGTCATGGTTCTGAGGGCACCGTTTTTGCTGGATTCCACTATGATCTTAATTTCCTGACAATACATGGCCGAAGTAGATTCCCAGGCCTTAACATCTGGTTAAGGAATGGTAAAAAGATGGAGGTGAAAGTCCCTGTTGGTTGCCTTCTAATTCAGTCTGGAAAACAGGTCAGCCTTGCGAATCTCTATCAACATTTTTAGTTTGATGGTATCATATTTTGTTTTGTTTGGTCTTTAGGAGTACTTGTTTTTATAATCAATGTGATTGAAAAAAATCAAAGTGAACTATACTTTTATACTTCCTCCAATCATAAATATAAATACATCAGATTTATCAAACTTTTGTAACTTTGACCATCAATATCTAATGTTTTATATGGAGTCACAACACAAAATTGACATTACTAGACTCATTATGAAAGATAATTTCATAATAAGTAACTCTTTTTGTACAAGATAATATATTCTTAGTTTTATAGATTCAGAGGTAAAAAAATTGAGTTTGGACAAACCTAGATAGGATTTTTTCTTAAAGTTTTGGAGCAAATATATGAGTTCTTTCCTGGAGTATCAAATATTTCAACAGAACTACAGAAGTACTAGAAATATTGTGTGTGGCTGTAAAGTAAAAAAAAAACTGTATTGTATGACTATTTACCAATCAGATGTGTTCCTTTCTGAACAGCTGGAATGGCTTACTGGTGGCGAGTGTTTGGCTGGAATGCATGAGGTAGTGGTGACCAAGAGAACACTAGATGCCATAGCACTCGCGAAAGAGCAAAATAGAAGCTTGTGGAGGGTTTCATCAACAGTAAGTACTATTGATTCTCAATTTATGTAAGCAATAGTTTGGACAAGGGTCTAAAAGTCGGCAGAGGTTAAATTCTATAGTCGTTTTACTTACTCATTTCCTCTTTCTCTAAACAGTTGTTTGCGCACATTGCTTCGGATGCAATTCTTAAGCCACTCGGCCACTTTGCTGAAACACCTGATGCTCATTCCTATCCACCTATTTGCGCTGGGGATTATGTCGAACAGGAGCTTTCAGTGATTAACCTGAAAGGAAAGGATGGAGTATAGACTCTATGCAGCAGATGGATCTGGATATCTTATGAATTGACAGATACAAGGATGCAAAACTAAATTACCCCAACTGGCAATTGGGTCTTGGTTTCCAAATGCTGTTGTACTGAAGGTGGTTAAGTTGTTCTGAAGACATGCTTGTTCATTGCTGTTGTTAAGATAGTGGATACCATTCTTTGTATACCACTACCACATATCACTTGTGAAAATAAAATGTATAGCTTGCACATAAACTGTTATTCTCCTGGTGCAATCCTGAAACTGTTATTCACCAAATGCAGTCATCTGTAGTGTCTAAAGTAGTTCCGAAACAGAGAACATTTTCATCGACCAAAATTATACTTCTCACGCGACAAGTTACAGTACAAGCTGCCCTTTCTCAGCACAAAGCAACTCACTTAAAATCTACATATGTACAGCATCCAAGCATGTGCGAGCATTTATCAGACCCAGTTGTTGGGCAGCGAGAAATTATGGAACCTGAAGGATGCATCCCCAGCGGTATCCCTCTCGTGCATGACCCCGGGGTCCACTTCCGTCTGCAGCCGCTGTTCGACGCACGCAAACGAGTTCTGCCGCGGCAACTCCGCGAATTCCGGGGACGGCAAAGGCAGCGGCAGCGGGCAGGGATCGTGGCCTGGTCGAGCCGGCGCGTCGGACTTGCCGTCCCACATGAGCACGTGAAGAAGGATCGGGCGCAGAGCGTGGCGGTGCAGGGACAGTTTCTGGCTGAGGGACACGGTGTCGAAGCACCGGATGGCGCCGGAAGTCGACACCATCCACGGCAGCACCTTTTGGCCTGACACCCTCGAGATGACCAGCAGCTTGGACGCGCGCTTCGCCTCCCGATAGAGGTCGCGGAGCCCCGAACGCATCGACGGTGCCTGGCGCTCGACGTCGTTCTCCACCACGGACGAGACGTAGATGAAGCCCTGCTCACAGTCACAAGTGAAGTGACCTGATGAGTTCTGACTCACCACACCAGACACATGCACTACAGAGTGAGCGCGCGAAAATGCGACCAGTGGGAGGTGTTCGCCGTACGTACCTCTTCAGTGCGGCTAATGGCGAACCCGAGCCTGGCGTCGCCCTCCTCGAGGATGATCTCCACAGGCATCTCTCCAGCAGCGGCGGTGTACCAAACGCGCACCGCCTTCACCACGCCGATGTCCACGCCGTGATAGTCCTCGAAGCCATAAAGGCTGGCGTTGGCGAGGTTCGGGAGGTCGGCCAGTGAGCCAGAGTTGACCGTCGAAGATGCTGTCTCGCCGGAGATCTGCACCGAGAAAGTCAGATCGTCAGAGAGGCGCACACAGACGACTGAAGCAACATCATCAATGCAGTCTTGATCATTACTACCTTGGTGAGAAGGGCCTCTGTCTGCACGTTCAAGAATGCAATGGGCACGCCGGACGCCTGAGACGAGAGGATCCAGGCGTTGGCGCGGGCCAGGGTGTCCTCGACGGAGTTGTAGCGGGAGCCGGCACGGTCGAGCGCCATGGGCAGAATGAGCAAGGAGAGGAAGCTGCTGGAGTTGGGCATTGGTAGCACCTCCCGCATCTTCTTCTCCCACGGGTAGGACACGTAGCCGTCCTGCAGCTGCGCCTTACTCAGCGCGCACACCACCCTCGAGCTCCTCGAGCCTGAAGAAAAGCACCGTAGGTGCCAACGACCATACCATCAGGAATGCAGAAGAGTTTGCAAACTCAGATCAATATTTTTTCATGATCTTGTACCACGCACTACTTTTTTGGTCCAATAGAGAAGGAAAGTGACTGATCAGACCGATAAAAGTCAACCGAGGAATCTCCTAGTCGCGTACTCGCGTTAAGAATTTGAGGCAGGATTTTATAATCAGATAGAATACTATTCAGCAATCGCCAATCAGCAAGTGGTTTGTGAAGCATAATAATGAATCTAGCTAAACACTAGTTCGACCCAACGTGCATCACCGTGTCTGTTGCCTGGAAGTATGCATCTTGAGCTATTTTTTCCCCGACGATCCCATCTTGCATAAGCAATTATATACTTTTTTTGACTGACAGGAGCAACACACTGCATAGTGCGTTCACTATACAGACTTCCAGGTTTATCATGTTATTACAGTCTACATGAATACATGATTTAGAGTAACCTAATTGTCGAGTTCCTATCTCATAACAAGATTGGCATCTTACTTGGTACAAAAGCTTGCAAATGCAAGACGTAACAAGAATACAAGACACAAAAGAGTTAGGAATCAGATCAATAATTTTTCCATGTTCTGTAATCATGCATTATTTTTTTTCCAATTCAGAAGGAAAGTGAATGATCAAACCAACAAAAAAGTCAACGGAGAAATCTATTGGTTTCGTTAATTAAGAATTCGCGACAAGATTTTATAATCAGGTAAATATTCAGTAATCAGCAAGTGGTTCGCCAAGCATAATAATGAACCAAGCTAAATGCTGATTCGATTCAATGTGTATCACCATGTCTGTTGCTGGGAAGTATGCATCTTTTTTTCTCGAATACACAAGAGAATTGTGTATCATTGTATTAAGTAGAATGAGTTTGAAGTTGAGCTAGACTAAGCAATTATATACTTTTTTTTAGATTCCTCAAAAAAATTTAGTATACTTTTTTTACTGACAGGAGAACAGCACTGCATGCAGACTTCCTAGGTATATCATGCCACCATTTCACAACAAGATCTGCATCTTACTGTCAACAAAAGCTTGCAATTTTTTGCAAGACGTATCTAGAATACAAGATCTAGTGCTCGCTGCTCGGTCATCGTTCTCTTGATTGTAGTGTTCCCAAGAATATGCTTGAGCTTGCCTACAGAGCATTGCTTGCATGCACCATCTGTATTATAGACTACCGTATTATAATTTGGTCGGCCAAGCGGTACGGTCCTCAACACAACAAGACCAACAATGCTGTAAACACCTTCTACAATCCTCCATGGATCCTATCCCATCAGACCCAGGATATCCTGAACATATTCACAGATACGACGATGGGATCAGCATGCATGTAATATAAGTACTCCTAGAAATGACCATTTCTGACTGTCTTAGTCTGTACCGATCCAACATCCAAGCATATGCCTACAACCAAACCCAAATCCCTATCGTGAACACGCCAAATTTCAGGAAACGATAAAGCGCATGTCACCTATCAAGCCAGCCTACTTGCTTAACTTTTTGTGCACGAAAGTCCGCACGCAGAGGGCACAGGCATGAGGCATGCACCTATCCTTTTTCTCAAGTCCAACCCGGCATGTAACGAAAACTCAGTCGCGGACTTTTACTTTTCTTCCGAGGGCTAGCGCAAACCGAATCAAGTTGATGTACGGGCTAAAAGCGGATCAAAAAATGGTGCCAAAACATTTTTAGAATTTAAATCTGCACGAAGAAGAGGATAAGCATGCTTGGTATGGTACCTCTGATGGCGGTGCACTCGCTCTCCATGCGGTCGACGAGGCCGACGGCGTAGTTGGGGTCGCGGATGGAGCGGAGCACGTACTGGCGGCTGCGGCCGATCCCGCCGCCGCCGACGGACTCCTGCGGCACGATGCAGGCCTGCATCCTGGCCTCGGTGGCCGCGTCCACCAGCTCCCCGCTGCTGTCGCCGCCGGCGACGAGCTGCCGCTGCTGCCCCTGCGCGGAGGCGGAGCGGCGCACGCGCACCTCGACGGAGGTCTCCCCGCGCTTGTAGGCCGCGTGCAGGAGCTTCTGCAGCGCGGCGCGGCCGCCCTTGAAGGGCGCGGCGTGCGATGCGGGCCCGCCCCGGCTGCCGACCCCGATGAGGAGCTCCTCCACGACGTCCCCCGTCTGCACCGTCTCGCTGCTCCCGGGCCCCCACTCCTCGGCCCGCGACCCGCCCGCGACGCACTCGATCGCCACCACGCCTGCTTGCCTCCTCCCGCTCTCCATGGGCATGCCCCCTCGCTCTACTACGCCTCTTCCTCCCAACTCACGAGCAGGGCGGAGGATTAGCGCTTAGGTAGCTGGGCAGCTTGCGCTGTTGACTTGTGAATGTGAAGGGAGCTGTCCTGTCACGCCGCCCTACCACCACGCAACGCAGCGCAACCTAGAAGAGCAGCTCAGCTCACGCAGATTCCTCGGCCCTTTTAGAGACGGCGGCGGCCGGTTGAAAGAGAAGCCTGAAGCCGCTTTCCAGGATGGTGCAAATGGAAGGGAAAGCCGCTCGAGCGCGATTGACCGACCGAGATGGCCACGCGTCGGCCGGACCGGACCACAGCACCGGCTCGGCTGGTGAGTCCGCGCTCTCCGTTGCCACTGGCCAGACAGTTGTTAAAATCTGGCTGACGGTATCGATGTGGAATCTGGGCCTGAATATCGTCGACCGTGACGCCACGACCGGCGCCATCGCCCGCAAGTGCCTATGAACGTCTGATCGGCAGATCCCAGGCGTGGGATTCCGGCGGCGCCGTGCGCCTCAACTCATGAGCCATACCATTCCAATAAAATAACAATATGTTTTTTTTTATAACAAATCAATATCAACATCAGTTATTTTTCTAACAAGTCGAACAGAGTTTTATCAGCACCTTACGCTGCAGCTTCCGTCACATCGAAATACCGGTTGGTCTGTATTCTATAATCTCATAAAAATAAAATCAACATGGCGGCTTCGTGGCATCACTTGTGAAGAAATTTTCAAAATGGATGTGAATCATCTCTTGTCCATCCAAATTAAAGTATTGGAACTAGCTTGCGCTGCCACTCAATGGCGTATGTCGTATAGATACATTCACCAATCATATTCCATAAAAAAAACATTCACCAATCATAGCCAATCGTCTTGACAACCCAAGTGTATACTAATATGGATTCACTACAAGAGGTGTGTCATGACAGAAAATTAAATGGTTAGCTACTCTCGGAGACCATTCATACAAGTAACAAGCAAGAAACATACTCCTAGGCGTTTAGAAGAAACATACTCCTACTTCCCTGCATTAAATATAGGTAAAAAACGTAACTTTGCACAGTTTAGTTGAAAATCACGAGATGAATCTTTTGAGCTTAGTTGATCCACGATTAGACAATATTTACCAAATAAGACGAAAGTGCTACTATTTATCAGGTTGAATTTTTTTTCAATCTAAACAAGGCCCTACTTCCCTGCTCCCACACGTAATTTCCCGGTCAAATTTCACATCCATGTGCCAGTGGCCAATAATGGCGCTGTACGAGAGAACATGACAAATCCATTTCTATGGAAATAGGGGTTCGGAAGTAATGATTGATTACGGAGAAACAAATAAATTAGCCATCATCGTTGACCTCAAAGCAAGTTGCGACAGTGACATGGTCATAATACTTCGAGAATAGACCCGAGTATGGGCCAGGCCTAATATGATTGTTTAGGTTCTGACTCTAAATTCCCGTTGGACAAATCTAGACAGACTTAATTCTAAAAAAAAATCTATATAGACTTTTTATTTGGAAAAAATAGTTGTATAGCATGGGAAGAATATGATTGTCGGTGTTTCAAGTAAATACTAATAAGTAAATTTATATTATTACGTGTTTAACCCGGATGGTGTACTAAAAGACACAAGGTTTACACTGGTTCGGGCAGAATGTCCCTACGTCTAGTTTACGGCTGCTGTTCGTGTTATTAGCACTGAAAGATTTGTAGTAGGGGTTATAAACGGGCGAGAGAGGGACATGTCCCAAGTCTCTGATGGAAAGATTGAAAGGAAGCTAAGAGCTTTGTTGTTGCTCAGCTGTGTGTTATGTGATGCGTGATGTGTTCTATTGATGGGTCTCTTTAGTGGGTGCCATGCCTTCCCTTTTAAAGACTAAGAGGGAGCAGGGATTACAGATAGGAGAAAGAAGAAGAACAAGAGGCAAAGAAGGTCCTTCGAATGTGTCGGGTCTTCCTTTTCCTCTGAGCTAGCCGTGCTGCTCGGCAGACGGTGCCATGGATAGCTTCATGCTGGGCGTCTGCCATTGATGATGCCACTCTCTGACTTGATCAGCAAGTGATTACGTCCCATCCCGCCCCGACGGGCGACGCGACGGACCGGGGTGTTGATCCGCAACCCCACGGGAAGCGGACGGCGCAGTGACTGCACGTCCGTCACTGTAGAGGACGTGAGTCTCCTCTTGGACCGTAGTGGTTGTCGTATGGTTCCATCAGGATCCACGCCCGAGGGCCAATGACGGCGCCCACAACACTGTAAAACAAATGTCGACGCCCACAACACTTTTCGGGCTCTAACATGCCCAGAAGGGCCTTAAAGCGGCCGTCTTGTCATATCCTGATGGTACTTTCCTGCAGGTACTTTTCTGCAGGCGTGCAGGGCATGGTCCTCGGCATTATGGTTGACTTGAGTGCCCCGCCTGCTTATCTCTCTGCGTGTAGTTATGAAGGAAGCAGCGCAGAGACGCTCGGGCAGGCGGAGCCAGCCCGGACATCGGGCGAGGCGGGAGTCGCCCTCCTCGCGCGTCGAGGCGAGGGGAGGTGAGGTGAGGCGAGTCTGTCCCCGACACATCGGGCGAGGTGGAGCCACCCCGGACATCGGGCGAGGTGGAGTCTCGCCCCAAACATCGGGTGAGGAGGAGCCCCGGACGTCGGGCGAGACGAAGTTCGCGAGACGGGGTGAGCGGAGCCACCCCGGACATCGGGCGAGGTGGAGTCTGCCTCAAACATCGGGCGAGGCGGAGCCAACCTTTGGGGGTCGGACAAGACGGAGTTAACCCTCGGTTGTTGGACAAGAGGTGTAGTCGTGTTCTTGCATGTTCGGAAGCATCAACGTTTGATGATTATTAGCCCCTCATCTTTGGGTACACCCCAGTATTCGGTCCCTCGACAGTAGCCCCGAGAGCCCCGGGTGATTTGGATAGAATCGCCTAGGGGGTGATTTGACTTGCCAGAGAGTGCGCGCGAGCGCACCCGACGGGTGTAGCCCCCGAGCCCCCGGGTGATTCGGACATAATTGCTCGGGGGTGATTCGTCTTGCCAGAGGGTGCGATGCAGCCCGTCGGGTGTGTGTCGAGCCCCGAGTGATTGAATAGAGGTCGCCTAGGTGTGATTGGACCCTTCGCGAGTATGGACTGTGAGATTTGATGGTTTGTTGACCGGATAGCTTAAATGGGACCCTAGTATCCCATTCGCAGGGACCTGTCTAGGGTCAGCCCGGCTGAGACTCGATCATGGGCCGAGACTCCCGTGAAGCTTGTGCGCCTGAATTTTGGCCGATCGCGGGCCCATCCTTTGTCGTAAGGGTGCCTAGGGACGATCATCGAAACTGTTGATGGGCTAGATGGAAGTTCCTAATATGGCTAGAGGGGGTGAATAGCCTATTTAAAAATCTACAAACCAACTAGAGCAATTTGATTAGTATAACAAATAGCGAAATGCAAATTTGCTCTAGCTCTACAAGGGTTGCAAGCCACCTATCCAATAATTTTAGTTGCTATGATCACTAAACACACAATTTGCTATGTCACTACTCACTAAGAGCTCTCACACTTACTACACTAAAGAGCTCCACTAGATGAACTTAACTACAAAGCAAGCTCTCAATTCTAGCTACACTAAAGAGCTTGCTACAACTAGTTTGCAAGAATATAAATGAGTGAGTAGGGTGATTATACCGCCGTGTAGAGGAGTGAACCAATCACAAGATGAATATTAAATCAATCACCGGAAGAATACCAAAGGGTAAGAGACAACCAATTTTTCTCCCGAGGTTCACGTGCTTGTCGGCACGCTAGTCCCCGTTGTGTCGACCAACACTTAGTGGTTCAACGGCTAAGAGGTGTTGCACGAACCTCATCCTCACAATTGGACACCGCAAGAACCTACCCACAAGTGACGTAACTCAATGACACGAGCAATCCACTAGAGTTACCTTTTGGTGCTCCGCCGGGGAAGGCACAAGACCCCTAACAATCACCACGATCGGAGCCGGAGATAATCACCAACCTCCGCTCAACAATCCTCCCTGCTTCAAGCCATCTAGGTGGCGGCAACCACCAAGAGAAACAAGTGAATCCTGCAACAAAACATGAATACCAAGTGCCTCTAGATGCAATCACTCAAGCAATGGACTTGGATTCTCTCTCAATCTCAAAGATGATGAATCAATGATGGAGATGAGTGGGAGGGCTTTGGCTAAGCTCATAAGGTTGCTATGTCAATGCAAATAGCCAAGAGAGTGAGCTTGAGCTGGCCATGGGGCTTAAATAGAAGCCCCCACAAAATAAAGTCATTGGCTCCTCAGTCCACTGAAAAACAGGGCGATCGGACGCGCCGGTCAGATCGATCGAACACTGGACCCCAGCGTCCGTTCGCATGATGCGTGCCACGTGGCCCCTACTTTAAACGCTGATCGCCGATCTCAACGGTCATCAGTACATTTAAGTTGTGACCAGACACGCTGCTTTGAAGTGACCGAATGTAGGACCTCAGCGTCCGGTCATTTCCAGTAAGCATCCAGAGACAATTTTTCACGATCGGACGCGTCCGATCACCCTTGACTGGACTCACCTAGCGTCCGGTCAGTCACCCTCTTCATTGTGTGCTGCCACGTCAGCAGGACCGGACGCACCCCATCAGCGTCCGGTCACTAAGTGACCCAGCGTCCGGTCGAAGACCGACGCCAGCATCTTCACTGCTTCCACTAACCGGACGTAGGACCCCAGCGTCCAGTCACTACGCGACCAGCGTCTGGTGCACTCTATGAAATCCTATCTTTTCTGTACAGAGCACCGGTGGCACCGTTGGACTGTCCGCACTCTACAGGCAGACACTCCACCGATGGAGTTTTAAACCCTTGCTCCCAAGTGCTAAACACAATGTGTATCACCTTCGTGCATGAGTGTTAGCATATTTTCACAAACATTTTCAAGGGTGTTAGCACTCCACTAGATCCTAAATGCATATGCAATGAGTTAGAGCA